AGATGTTTTTCCTGTAGAAGGGTAACAGAAAATATCAGATCTGAAATGCTCACTGGTCTAACTAGTAGCCTTAGTTTTCAGACGTCTAAAATAAATATTGGCTATATAAATAAAATTATGTATGTTCCGACAGTACACCCTTGGACTGTTTTATATGTTGTTGGATATTAAATCCATCAGATTTTTTTTCACAACTCCATTCATTAAAAATAATTTCTCCCCTCAGTAAAAGTGTAATAAGCATACAGTTTGTCTTTTAAAATACAGTTGTCAAATATCAAGGGGTAAATATACTCGAGCGTTTACCCTAGAGGTCTTTAAGGGCCAAAGTCTGTTAGAAATAATATCTGTTATCCATATGAACAGTTACCTGGGGGGCAGTATAAAATGTTACACATTATATTTTTATTTTTTGAAAATAAGCTAGCAGAGCTATTCAAAACAAACTTGAAGCTTCACTGCAGCATTTAACCTCTTGTGCATGCAGGTCCAGATATGCTATTAATTGATCATGTATTTCTGTTTTTGAATGAGCACTTTGTGTGGAGAACAAGCTACCAGCAAAATGGGATAACAGATTTTTTTTCTCCATTTGTTGTTTTTGAAGAATTTTTTACATATAGAAATATTTTTTTCTTTAAAAGCAACAAACAGCAGAATCATAGGAAAAAGTAAAGGGACAAACTTTGTTTTGTGTTCTTTGTGGAATATTTTAACAGTTCTAAGATTTCCAGTTCTTTAGTTCTTAGATTTTTCTCGCCCTGTGGTTAGTTACTTGGTTTCTAGGATTACTGTATATCTGCTGTGTTGTGGTGAGCTTAATTTTCCACAAAACGTCCAATCAGCTAAATTCTACAACATACTTAATCAAAGACTGTCCCAAAATGAAAATATATGCACAATTCCAGGGCAGATGAGCTCCAGAAAGCTGGGTAGAGGGCTCAGCCAAAGAGTTAAAAAAAAAAGTTTTGCCGCATGGAACTGTTTTCAGACTGCCAATCAGAGAAAAGCTGTTTTAGGCCATACATCCCCTTCAAAATTTCTCCTCTGGCTCATTTCTTTTGAGTTAGCCTGGGAAAAAGCCACTCCTTATGTTAGGAAATTGGGAGAGACACTGAGCATGCTCTGATGCTGAGATCAAAACAGAAGCTTGTTCTTCATAATTGCCCTTTTACTGTACCTCCCAGACTGTGTAGTTTGGAATTTGCCTTCTGGAAACTGTACTATTCCTCCCACTCCTGATGTGAAGGAAAGAATCACTGAGATTCATCCATCCCTGTATTCTCCCAGAAACCAGAAAAGTAGTGAAGAGAAATGGCCCACCCCTACCACGCAGAAACAGACAGGAAAAGGGGACATATTTTTCAGAAACTGGGGAGGTGAGTCAAAAAATCCCAATCCCTTTTGCTTCTTTGGGGGGCGGGGCCGAGGGAAGAAGAGGAGGAGGAGAAGAAGATCTACATTGTCTATAATGGAGTTGTAAAGATGGAGTATCTTGAACTGATGCAAATTCAACTCAGACATCTCAGGTCAGGTCAGAGCATTGTGGAATGATCATATAGGTCTCTGCAAAGCAATTCTATGAAGTAAGTTCTTAAAAGTTGAGTACCACTGCTCTAATACCTCAATCAGTCATCTTCAGGTTTACTCCCTAAAGCCACTGGGATTGAAGCAAGGACTCTTTTCCTGCCTGATCCTCATCAAGGTTTTGTCTTTCTTTAAGGAGACAAATGAAGATCTGCACTGGCTTAACTAGAGAATGTAGCATTTAACCGAGCCCTGCATATCTGGCTGTTTTTTCTTTCCTCTGTAGAAAATCATCCATTGTGTGTCTGGGAGGTCATATAACCTTCTCAAAGTTGCAAATAAATAACACCCCCTGGGGCCCCTATGTGCTGTATCCTACCCTATGAAAATTGAAAGTGTCATCTCAATGACCATCTCTTCAACATTTTTATTTCCAGGTGACTCCCAGAGGTCCTTCTGGGAAACACAAGGTGCTTGCTACCTACCAAGTCACCAGGCCACACAATTTACAACTTAGGTTAAAAACAATAAGACTAGCTTCATTGTTTATAACTGATTCAACTTTCAAGATTTCCCCAGGAGACTGCATGTCTGCTCTCTGACAAGAAGATATGAGCAAATTTTTACCACTGAATCTGACTGGTCACAGTAAAACTCCTGAATTTAAAATCCAAGATTCCTGAGACCACTTCATGCTCTGCTTCAAAAGCACTTTTTAGACAGCTTATTTAATAATATCTGAGCACTAGTTGGTGTGCTATCCTTTCCATGATTAGCAATAGCAATATTATTCTCAGGAGCATATACTAGTGCTGTATAGATTTATAGCAATATTGTTGGACATATAAACAGCCCTTTTACATAAACATCAACATCCTGAATAAAAGATAAATCTTGAAAGATAAATGGACAAAGAACATTAAAAAAATCTTGGCAATACTCAATTACAAAGTGTTTCTGGATTTGAAACATTTGCCACCCTCCTTTTTCATCGGACAAACACACTGTAACAAAATATTTATGAAATGTTATTGATTTTTATTGAAGTGAAGATTTCACAGGGAAGTAAAAACAATTCTTGATCTCAGGGCAAACAAGTCACAAATAATGCCAATATATGCAAATTTGATGTTTTCTATCACCTCTTCAGAACTAAGAAATATTTAAAAATCTCTCTCTAAATATATGTCTCTCAAAGTTTCCAGGGTGCAGTTTCACTCTCTTAATTCAGAGTCTCAACAATTTACTAATGGGAAGCAGAGCTTTGTATTTGCTAGATGGGTGTTTAAATGACAGTTAACAAGAAGTAACAGAAATCAAGGTTCTTGTCCACTAGGAATAAGTGGAGTCCCTTATAAGACAGACTGATTCATTTATACTTTCATTTAATAGAACAATATCTGAAACATTCAACTACAAACCAAACATAAGAAAATGTGCAAGTAAAGTAGAAAGTACCTCTAATCAGTTTTCCTCTCACCAGTCACATCAGCACTTGTTGCTAATTATTTTATCTTGCATACGATACAGTACATACCCTTTTTAATATTGTATCTTTGTGAACTTTGACTATTTGATTCTGTGTGATCAAACACTAACAACAGCGGCAAAGAAAACACTTTCCCCTCTTTAAGATGCTCTATTGGTTAGTTCAGATTTATTTGTTGTCAGTGAAGGTTATATTTGCACATAAGCCTATGACAGATTGCAAGTTTTTAACTTTGAGCAAGTTTTCAAGCTGCTGGTATTTTTTCTTAAGATGTAGGTTACTTGACAAATTGGAGTTAAGTTATCTGGGGTCAATGTAACTGTAAGTTAAACTAATGAAGTGTATGCCTGTGAATGATGTCTGATTAGTTTAATACAGCTAGTGCTGGACAGCTTGGGCTGCTGACCTTGAAGGAGCATAGATAACATTGTGATGCGTTGGAGGATGTGGTTGTGATGCAGAAGAAATTTACATAACAGTTTGTCATATATACTCCTCCAAAATAAAATTGTTGCAAAGGAAGAGTAATGCAAAACCCATACTTAAATGCCTCAAGCAAGAGGAAAAAATAGTTACAATAATTTGGTAGCAGTTTATTAGAAATGAAAGCAAGCAGCAAGCCCAGTAAAGGTGTATTTTCTACACCAGCATTTTATATATTCAAACTGTTCATAAATTGTGTAAGATTAAATATTATGTTCCACAATTTGTGATGGGTTCAGATTTAATGTTACATGACCTTATGCAGCACAGGATATATGCTGCAAAAATCATTTTCCTCTCCATCTGTGTCTACTATCTTTATTTGTTATCATCGGAAGTTGCAAACATTAGCCCCAGTTCTCAGCTGGGATCTGCTAGCATATACCTCTGCACTCAGACAGAGGCCCACTGAAGTCAGTGGTATGCAGTGTAGGTGCAGAGGTCCATGCTATCAGATACCAATGCAGCAGGAGGGCTTTGGTGTAAGTAAATAAAGTGTTGACAGTAAAAAACCCATTTCACTGCTGAATCAGTGATGTTCTCTTGTTTGCAGTCACTGAAATGTACACGTCACCATTTGGTGCATTACTGTTTAATAGAAGTATCCTACAGCATCTTAACTGATCGGGGGGCGGGGAGGGGAGGGCGAGAAGGAGAAGATGAATGGCTGGTTTCAAGACCACCAAGTTTATAAGTGACTAGAAGTTTTCCCTATATGATGACCACTTGGTGGTCTGTGTGTATTTAGTTTGGTGGTCTCAGTTCAGGTTCTAGTTGCTAGGTGTCCACGCAGGGCTTAAATTCTCATAGTATTTCCCAGAGCCCTCCATGTTCCCCCACCAACATGCTATGAAACCTCCAGGGGAGTTGAAAATATTTACTGGAGCTCTGCTCCAGACAGCTCCAGCTGAATTTAAACCCTGTGTCTACATAATAAAACAAACAATTTGACATCCTCATATATGGTCACATTACAGAGCTCAAGGTCTGAATAGTCACTAGACTGAACTAACTACTCTCTCATTCCTTTAGGTCACACATCCATACAGCATTCAGGTTACTCTACAGATAACTTGGTATGACGCTGTGGAGAAGCTTGCACTGCATTACTCTGTGCATTACTCTGCCTGATCTGTGGAAAAATAGGACTTCAGCCTCAAAAGCTGTACGTCCTATCCCTTTCACCAGCTCTAAACTCATTAGAGAATTCAAAAGAAACACACCCACAGGCGGCAACTTAGCACAATTTAAGATAGAGACTTTGCAGTATTAGAGATATAGACCCAATATTTTTCTAGAGGCCTCTAAAAGGATGCCTGCAACTTTCCACAAACACAACCCAGCATGCAAAACAAGAAGGTCAATATCCCACCTCAGTGCCCATTTGCAAGTACACATGATTTTGTATGCAAAAAAACCAGAAAGCTCAGTTTTAGAGACCTGGTTGAAGATCCTTTCATATTTTGACCTGTAAGATTATTTGTCACAGTACTATCTTTACCTGTAATTAGCATTAGCTGGCACTGTTTGCATGAAATAAAGGGCAGCAGTCCGTGCTCTCCAGTGCCATTTCTTTGCTGGGAGTGTGTAAAGGACACATTCTTCTATCTCCTCCTGTAGAAGATCTGCCAGCTGCTTGTGGGAACCACCATAAAAAGCTTCAATTAGAAGAATACTCATACTTGCACGTTTTTCAAATCTTCTTGGATTCTAAAACTGACAAAGACAAAGAAACCTTTTATTCCCAAAGTCTATTCTTTAGTGAGTTTTTTTTTAAGTGTGTTAGACATAGATCATGAAAAAAACTCCTATTAACAGACCTCTGTTAATATCTTTGTTTCATGGTAATATATTTATTTTTTTAAAAAAGACTAATTAACAATTAGTATGATAAAAAAGGAAGGTGTCCATTAATCACAACAATAGTCCATTAAAAACTAGCTATTTAGAATTTAACTAATAACTAAAATATACTCAATCTGTAAATGCTTAGATTTTGAATTTTAGTTATTGGCTTTTTAAATAAGATATATTTGAAAACTGTTTATTTTACAAAAGTTTTTTTAAAATGTATTTTCCTGTTCTGGAATTGAGGGTGCTGTCCATACAATTTTACCTTCTGAATGGTAGTACATAAAACTAAAAAGCATTTCAAACATACTTCAGCCAAATTTGTTTCATAGTAAAGGCAATCTGATTTAAAAGAAACATGATTGGGGGCATATCCTGGGGTACCCAATTTGAGTCTACCTCCAGGACTGTGTTCCTTAGGTTACTGAAGCCTGGGATCATCACTAAAATGACACTTGCAGACCCTATAGGAGATGTAAACTTCGTTACTCTTGAATACTCCAAAATGGCTGAAACAGAATAATATTGTAGTCTTAAGGAAGCTATCACACTTTCACCCACAGGGCTGCTGACACACAGGAAGCAAAACACATGGCCCAAAATTAAGGGAAAGGTGAAAACCCTGTGACTATTGCTCATCTGTTTCATGAGTCACGTTTTGGGGTGGTGAAAAGCTGCTCTGTAGAAGCTTAGGGATACTCCATTGGACAAAAATGTTAAAAACAAAACCATGATTAGGTATTTACCAGCAGTGTCTGCTGCTCTGATAACTTCCACTTCAGAACATACTATCAGGGGCTGAGTAACACTGGGTCTGATTACTTCATTTGTTTGTGCTTCAGACCGATGTTATATATTGTATGACTATACTGAGCACCCAATCCCTGACCCACAGTTTCCAGTAGTCGCTGGTTGTGACCCTAATCTTTTCAGCAACTCTGTTGGGGAGGGATGAGGGGATTCATAAATTATAACCCTTTACCAAAATCTAAATGATAGTTCTAGTCATTAAACATAAACTGGAGTTAATGTTTAAAGTACCTACAGTAATTAAGGGTAAAAATGCCTTCCAAGAATGTTGCAGCTATCAAAAAACAAGCTAATGAAAAAATCCCGAAATTCAGAGAGTTAAAAGATGAAATTTAAAAGAAACCTTTTGGTCAGTACTGAATCAATGGCCCAGCATGGTCTTAGGGGCTTTCGGTGCTGCTGGAGTTGCCATTTTTCAGATGAGACAAAGCTAGATTATTCACCTTTGTTAAAGAACAAAGTGTTAGGAAATAAATATTTTCACACAGGAAGAGGGTGGGGGGAATGAAAAGGATTGGAGGGAAGCATTTTGCAAATTTAACTCAGAAAGAGGGCACATGAAATGTCTGATAAATTCCACTAAGTCACTCATTAAAAAAGAGTCGAGGTTAATGTTAATTTACAAGCTGCTCAAGGTAGTACAGTAGTTTGTTCATAAAACATCTGATCAAATTTCCTCATCAGACTAGTTATGAAAGCATTTTAACACCTAGTTTAATTGAATCAACAATGTACCCTTTGGTTTTATTTAGAATACTTTGCAACAGTTTTCTTTTTTTATGTTCCTTTCTGTGATAGATAAAGAATGAGGCAAAAATTTGTTTCAGTTCTCAGGTTTCCTTCTGGTCTAAGATTACTGACAATTAGGTTATTCTATACTTGTCTTACTACTTTTAGACTTTTTAATAAAACAAAATGCTATGCAAATGTTAAAATAAACCCTCTAAGTGTGCTTCTGATTGAAAATCTCAATTCAAACTTCGATTCTGCCTTAATTATCTGCTGGGTAGCTGAGGCTATTTGATTCTTCATACTCTGTGTACCTGGTGTGTGTAGATCCCACTTTGTAAGGATTAAGAAGCAAGGACGAAAAATCACAAACAGCAGTCAATTTTTGAAAGATGATATGATACATAAAGGGTTTTTGCACAAACTGCCTCGAATGGGGAAAACCCCAAGACAAATCAAGAAAGCATCAAAGGATCACTCACCAGCATTTGTAGAATTCTACTGTCATGTGCTCTAGGTACTTTACCAGTTACATATATTAAACACAGATTAATAACAAGACAATCTAGAAACCTATACTTGGTGTTTTTTAAAGGTGCTACTAAAACAGAAAATATTAAATAAGGGACAGGCAATGCAATTAGCCCCTGCAGTGCAAAATGATATCATTTAGGAATGATGGAAAACCCAGCCAAGTAGTCTTATGTTTTAAAAATATATGATGATAATGTACTGTAAATCACATTATTTTAAAAATAACTTGTAATTTTTGTAAATTTAAAAAGCTACAATGTATGTTGGATGAAGACATTTACCTCATATTTCACATACAAGGTTTCCAGTTTTGTTCACATATCACAGTAACATCTATTATTCTTGCTTTATTTCCCTTGACCTAGCCAAGTTAAGGTAAATATGTACTATGTACTCCTTAGAGGTCTTGAAAAGCCACTGATGATAAATGGTCTGAAAACATTTACCCTATCTGATGGAATGCAATCCTCAATTAAATATAAATCATTCCAGGTATTCTTTTACCCATTTCAAAGAAAACAACAAATATTAGAAAAATATATCTGCTTCTCCATTCTCATTACAGTGCTTCCTCTCTCAAGGGTGGCTCTTTGGAGCCAATAATTCTGCAAGTTACACTAATGGCTTGATTCTATTCTCAGGAGTGCCGTGCTGTGTAGCTTGAAAAATTTGCTTCACTGCATGTACCATATGCAGATCCAGTAGCAGATTCTTCAGGATACATATTAATAAGAGTCTACCTACTTGCAATAAGAATTAAGTCCCAAGTGAATGTTACATAAGCAATAACATGACTCATTTGCAGGCATACTGGATACTTACACACCTTAGGTGTATTGTGAGACATTTCTCCCCATTATTTCAACTCCCACCTCAAAAATACTGTCTCATAATAATACTCCATATGGACACAATCAAGTCATGACTCAAGTGTCGGCCAGAGGGTGAGCATGTTGCAGAAGACTAAGTAAGGGGTCAGATACTGCCCATGCTAAATTCCTAAATGGGCAGCTAAGGATTCCTTTCCCCCCTCCCACCCAAAATAAAAAATATCACTGGCTGACTTACAAGACCATGCTGCTAACACCACACTCTCCCATTTACAATCCACTCCCAGCATGGTTGGGGGAGGAATAAGGGGATATGGCTGGAGCACACAATGCCCTTATGAGCCCCAACTGACATAACAGTCTTTTAGGGCTGTTTCAAACCAGTGTTATTTAGAGCAGCCCTGATGCTACTGTAAGTTATGCTGGGAGCCAAATCAGCACCTGGTCAGGCCCAGAATCTGGGGGCAGGGGTAAAAAGATATTATAAGTCACCAAGTGCTGCTATATAAACCTGAGGACTTAGCTTTAAGTGTGTCTTCCCACTTATGAAATAAATGTGCTCTCTCAGCAATGACTGCAAACTTTGGGGAGTAAGTACCCAGTTAGGGATCTGAACTCAGATTCCTGGGTAACAGCACAATGAACTGCCATTAACAGGACAGAGTAAGCAGTCAAATGTTTTTAACTTATCAGAACAATTGTTCTGAGAAATATAAAGAACTAGAATATAAATATATATGTTTGAAAAAAACAACATGGAAGAACATATGAGCAAGAAAGTTTACACTCTTCAACCAGTTACAGAAGCAGTAACTTTATACTCTTTTTGAACTCTAAGTAAACAGTAGTTATAGTATTTTTTAAACCGAGGTAGGTACAGGAAACTTGTAATTTACCAGTGATTTATTAAGGAAGATACATTTATTCTGTCACTTATACATAAATGCGGTTTCACAAACGTCAGCATAACTCACAGAAGAAAGACATAATTAGCCCTCTTCATTGACGTATTCAGGCAACATACATTACAGATCATGCTTAAATATCTGTCCAACAAAATATTTTAGCAATAACCCAAAACCAAAGGAATAACTGTTAATATATTCCATAGGTACACAATTGCTATTAGTTATAGGAAATAAGGTATATGGTTTCAGTAATGATTGTTTCAACGGTTATAATCCCACACGTATGAGAAATTTATTCCATCACCATATCCACAGCACACATGGTTCAACATTTTAAAAGTCAACTGACTACAAAAGATATAAGGTGTGTAGTGTGCATTTATATATATTTACAGACTTTGATGATGGTTTGAGATAAACAGTGCAATATTTAATATAGGAAAAGACTTCAAATGCTCCACATTTTAGTAGAATGGGGTTTCCCAGATCGTTATTATAGAGGCTTTACCTTGATTCTTGTCTCCCTCCACCCTTTCTTCCAACCCCATACACACTTTAAAAGTAAGTGTTAATGCAGCATACTGAAAAAAACAATACTGAGAGAGTTTGCATTACTCACCCACTCATCTCAATGATTCATCAGGGAAACCCCAGTAGAAATATACCTTAAAATACTACAATCACATTTTAATATCTTAACTTATATTTAAATCAGCCAAAAAGTATAGAGTTAACAATTTCCTGTTGATCAAGTGTATACACATACAAAAGTAAGCATGCTATTGATTTATGTAGAGGAAACAAAAGAAGACACAGGAATGAATTTTATTTTGAGAAACTGATAAACTGATGATTCAGCTTTATCTGAATACTGCAGTCTATGGTGCCGATTTGTTGATCAGAGGTCTGCATCAGTATTAATATTACTTTACTGGAGATAGCTGTAAGCAATGTTTTGCTGACCCATATGGTCTGAAAACAGGAATATAATGCCAAAGATAGGATGTGCCTCATCCAGGGTGAAGGCCAATTGCCTGGCCTTTTCACTGAACAG